GACCATTGAAACAAAATTAATTTTCATACGCACAATTTTACATTTTCCTGTAAGCAATTAGTTTTCATCATTTTCCTCATTTCTTAAGCCTTCTTTTATTTCATTACTTCCCCCGTTTTGCAATTAAAAAATGAATCATTGTATAGAGTGGATTTGACTCTCTATATTTGAAGAGTCAAACTCACCATTTATTTTAATTTTTAGAAGATAAAGAGTGTTTTATACAATTCAAAAAGAGATTTTACTCTCTAAAATAGAGATAATGGGTCTAATATAAAATACATTAATATTTTCATCAATTTACCCTTGCCAATTACAATTCTAATTAATTAATTTCTAAATTTTAATGACACATTAGATAGATTGCAACATCACTAACCTAAATTACAAAGTACATTTGAGAATTTGTTGTCCCACTTGGAATAGTGAATGGAGTTCATTACACCAAAATCAAATAATCACAATTGTAGATACTGACTAATACCTAGTAAATGACACAAGGATGCTCATATATAACAAAGAAAGCAGTAGCACGTAGTGGTAAAGTGAGATTGTTGGGATGGATGACGAATTTTGATCATTGATTTCTGAAGAATCAACAGCTAGAGGCATGCCATCACTGTTTAGACTGCAAAACTGTGGATCAACATCTCCCGTGCTCATCATGAGAGCCCGAAGAACAGCAGACACCGTATGTATGTAGACAGTTCTGTTCTTGTTAAGAAGCCATGTGAGACCCATAAGCTCACAATCCCGGTTATGCATTTTGCTTGTCCTCTCATCGGATATATTTGTCCGACCAGCTTTATCCTCTTTGAGCTGCATAAATTAAGTACAATGCATCAGATGCTTTAGAAGCCTCATCTAACAATGACATACTTTTAAACTGATCACGAGAGCCTAATGCTTCAAAAAGTACGTAGTAAGATGTAGCTTTGTTTCAACGAACTTCTGAGATTTAGAAAAGCAAAAAAGTGAATGAAAAGCAGTAAAAGAAGACAAAATGCAGAAGTTAGAACAAGCATGATCCTTTCATGTGATCAAATGGGAACTAACTAGATATGATTTATGATTAGAATGTAGAGTACCAAAAGCACTTGCACGAATCCTTCATAATTTATAGCTAGGTACTTCAAAAGTAATCAGAAGGGATGTGTATTTAGAGTAGATGTTGAATCGGTATGTGCTGCTAGATGAAAGAACGTCCGAAAGAGTAGCTCGACATAACTAGGATCCGTTTGGCATGACTTTTGCTTTTGTTTTTACTTTCTGTAGAAGAGCTTTTGAAGGAAACCATTTTTATTTTTCTTTGGAAACTAATTTTTAAAAAAGAATTCTATTTCGAAAGTGCTTTTAAAAGAAGTCGTATTAAACCAACTTCTTCTAAGAGTAGTTCTAATAAGACGAAGCACTTTTATAAAGTCGAACGGGTCCAATGGTAGCTTTTGGTTATCAAGGCTCCTTTTGACTTTTTAAAAGTCATGCCAAACGAATCCAATAGGATATTTCAATCCTCCATATTAGACATGCTATTAAAGTACGACAAGAGACTGGAAATCTATAGCACTAAAGAATGTTCGACTCGAGAAAAAGCTATGATAGTCGAAAGCTTAAGTGAAGGAAGTTGATGATCAATTCATACAAAACTACAAATCACGTCTTTAATGAAGCGTACTCAATCGTAACAAACACTAAAACACATGTCAATACTAACCGGAAGACTCCTCTTAAAGAAATTTCACATAGATTGGTCTCACCGAGATGAAAATATTACACCATACGGCAGATGCTTTAACACATACATTTTTATAAAATAAAGCAACCACAGTTTTTACGAAGTAAACCAAGTATAAGTATTTTAAAGGCTCGTTTGGCATGAATTTTGCTTTTGATTCATGTAGACGAGCTTCTGAAAGAAACTATCTTAATTTTTGTTTGGAAACTAATTTTTAAAATAGCTTTCTCCTTGTCCGAAAGTTATTCTAAATAGAAGTACTTTTATAAAATTATTCAAATGGGTCGAAAACAAATCTCCAAAGCTCCTTTAAACCATACCAAATGGGCTCTAAGTGAATTCTGATGAGTGAGTACTACTGCCAAAGCAGGATACAAAATAGTCCTGCCTTCTGAGAACGCGTGGCATATACTCTCTTCCTCTCTATTTTATTTGCGACTGGGAAACACTATGAAAAAGCGAAGAATTCACTTTCCCAAAATTTCTCACAATCGACTGAACTGAGGATAAACCCTAATCGACGGCATCTTCTATCGCAATTATTCATGCACAATTGATAAATGTACTCAATTTAATTTTGATTCACTGACAGAAATTATTATAAAACGAAAGAATTGGAAATTTCATACCGAATGAAGACTGTTCAAGCATTTGGTGCAGCCACCAAGCCCTGCGTAGCCATTAACGCTATGACTCAAGCAATCCTTCTCTAATTTCTTCACATTCTCACTACCCACCAATTTACCGCGCGAATTCACGTAAAACGCTTCTGGGCAGGTGAATGGGTGCAATCTAATGCCACAATAACAGTACACTACATCGCAAGTCTCATTAGGCTTCGTCAATTCAATGCCTCTGCTTCCCAGAGCCTTTTCAAGAGTGTCGACACAGGTCTCGGAGTCATCGGGTAGGACCGGCATGTCATAAGAGGCAATTTGCGGCGGGGATTTGGTAAGGTACGCTTGTAATGCGGTGCTCGAATAGGCGGAGTAAAGCCATGCCGCGAGAACCGGGCAGCAGCGGGTCCGATGGAGTTGATTCGGGTTTTGGGTTTTTGAGCCACAAGCGGATTTTATACCGTGGAAGAGCTGGTCAGGGAGGTCCAATGGACAGGCGGCGATGTCCGACTGTTCTGGGAAGGCAGGGATGGTGACCGGCGGTGAAGGGACCTGTAGAACCATCTGGGTCTGAACTGTGGCCGGGTCCGGGTTAGTTAAGGCGAATAATGCGCTAATATGGAACGTGATGAAGAAAAAACTGGTAAAGAATGACATTGCTATAAGATCCGGAGACTTTTTCAGTTTTCTATATCTCGGTTTCTTTGCTTTATTTGAGAAGTTCAATAAAGGTGGTGTTGGGGAAGATGAAATAGAAATGAGAGAGAAGGCCAATGTGAGGTGGGGTACAAGAGTAGGATAAAGTTTGTTTAGCTGCTTGTTGTTACTCATTGGCATGCTAACTGTGCAAGACATAAGATTCATTAACTAACTCCAATTGAGTTTGTTGTCTTGGTTTGATTATTTTTTATTTTTTTTTATACTTTTAATGATTTAGTATACCAATTATTAGTAAATAAGAACATGTACATCTATGTTTTTATTTTTCGATTTTCTATTGAGATGTCAAAAATCTAACAATAAGACGGCCTATCGCGTTTCTTGATTATTATTATTTTTACCGTCTCTTTAAATCTGATTAAAGAAGTCATAAGTGTACTCAAAAGTATCAGAGATTATAAAATAGAAGATGAGCCAAAAGAATAGAATTTGGCAGTTGATCATTCAATTTTACGTCCAAATGTAACGTTTCGCTTGGACCTAGACGATGTCTAAACTCGTTTTTAAGAACATTGTCCGATAATTTGAAAATTTTATCTATTTATTTGAATCAGCTTGTCGTTTTCATTGTGTTTTCTTGCTTTGGAAGCTTCTTTGTGGTGGGCAAAACCATTATTTGGGGAATTTGGTTTCAAAGAGAAATAATGAATGCTAACGACAAATATATTAAAGAGGTAAAAGTGAAGTACGAAAAGTAAGTATTAGAACGTGAATTTCCCGTGCTTAATAATTGAGTTGGCTTGATTAGGACTTAACACTCAACTAGTTGTTATGCAATTATTTTAACTTAATTGAGTCTTATCTATCTTGTCTTTTTTACAAGCCAATAAAATAAGAATTCATATTATTTTTTCAATAAACAGAAATAGCAAATGTATGATTTTTAAATTAATTATTGATTTTAACTTAAATTAAAATCTAAATTTTAATCTCAACCAGATAGGGGTTGAAAATTTGGTAATACAAAGGTGGACCAAAAGATTAAAGACTGCTTTACATTTGATTAGTAAATTGTACGATAATATTCATGCAATTTTGAATAAAACTATGTGTACACAATTTTTTACACAATGTTTTATACCCTCCTCACATGGAGGGGACCCACACATAATAAAATAATCGTGGGCTCCCCTCCATGTGAGGGAGGTGTAAAACATTGTGT